AATTTAGGTTAAAATTCCGTTTCGAATCGTGTTCTAAATTCACACAATTTATCTTTTATATTTCATCGCGTAAATCACTTTCTCCTGAATCATTAATATGTTTTCGATTATAAAAAATGGTTTAAACTATATTACCATTGCAAGATACTATTTAGAAAAATAAAGTATCGAAATTATAACTTTCCCTAAACAGATTGGCAGCAGGTACACCAATTATTTTCATATAATATATGCATGTGTTGTTGACAGTTTTTTTTTGCATCCCTTTTACCTACATACCTTAATATCATTGGTCATGCTGTTTGATTTTTCATCTTACTCTGCATTAACAGATCTTTGATTTAATCACTTTGTCAGGATACAAGTACAATATGTACTCACAATAAGATAATAGATGAACATTAGAAAGCATATCTAATAATCCACAGCTCCTTGATGGTTTAATATATATCTTGGTATTTACCTTTTTTAGCATTAATGTAGTTTTCCTTACGAAAAAAGAAAAAAGTTTAAGAAATTATGATTTTGATTACAGATTCCGGTACATTGTTGCTATAGCAACCGAATAAAAATTCTTCAGTTAATTAGCTATTAAAGCTACAATAACATCTTAATTAATTAAAAAAGACTTAACCCCCCCCCCCCCCCAAAAAAAAAAAAAAACAACCTTTTATGACATACCAACCATAATACATGAACATAAATGTGCAAACAATTGTGAAAAAAAATGAAATTTTTTAATAAAATCGAAACTAACAAAAATGACCAACCATAATTTGTTATTTTGAAGAATATAGCAAACAACTTGTCAGGGTGTTTTGAATCTATGGATACTTAAAAAAAATCCAAAAAAACTCATTTTGACCCTGGCACCTCCATTAGCCTGAAAATCTCATGGATGGTCACATATAAATACGAGGGTATACACAATGGAAAGGACAACTTTTTATATGCTTAGTGTTGAATTGAATCAAAATGGAAGTATTTTACTTCAAAAACGGCTAAATAATATTATGGACTATGGGAATATCTTATCATTTTTCTTTTAAACTACTAGTACCTTTTAAGATGATAACGTTGATATTATTTACTCGATCGCAAGATATCTTTTATAACAGTATATGATTTTATTTCTTTTTATAATTATCAATCTGTTTTAGGCGATCTAAATACCTCTGCGTGTTTCTTATTTTGTTTCATCTAAGTTTTACTTTCATACTGTTTGTTACTTACATCTTTTATATGTTACATTCGTTAATGTTTCAATTCTATGGAGAGTAGAACTGGTGTTTTAATTTTTTAGTATCCTCTTTTTATCAGTACTTATTCTGATGGGATAAGCCCGCTTTTCTTGGTAGTCTACTAGAACTCCAAACATACCACGATTATACCCTCTCTTTGGAGTAAACCCGTTTTCCTTGGTAGTTTGCTACGACTACAGAACTACCGATAGTCATACCCTATTTTAGCTATTGCTTTGATTTTACTACATATTTCACTTTTGTTGGGTTTATTGTTTGTTTAACAATGGACATTTTCCACAACATTTTATTGTTATGATTAAGCTTTGACTTTAATCAAAATTTGTCTATAAGAGAAGTTATACCAATAGCTATAATCACGGTTCATAGGATAGATCAAACTCCTCAATTATAAATCTACAGTATTGACGCTAACTATAGTTATGATTATGATTCTCTTTAAAGGGATTTAAAAGTAAATCGTCAACTTATCATTTACTATTGTAATCGCTGAAGTACATATTTAATACTTTGAACAATGAACCAACACAATTTTATTTTTACACGTGAATTAATATCTTATTCTTTTATGGCTCTCAATTAAACAAATGCATTTCTTTTCATCCTTAACAGTTTAATAAATTTGAACCACCTGAACTTTAACTTCCAAACAATATAAGATTTTAAAGTCTCCAATTTTTTATTTTTATTTTCTATTCTTTTATACAATCCTTGAATTTAAAGGATATTTTAGAGAATTTTTTTTTTTTTTTTTTTGATTTTTTTCTATAATCATATTTATGTTTACATTTATTTTCTCAAGTTAAGTTTATTTTACTGAATGTATGATATACACTTATCCTTACTAACATTAGTTTATAAAACTTTATATTACTTGTTGTTTAAAGATCACTTCTTTGTTTTTCTTTCACGTTGTCATGACATAAAAAAATATAGATATACTAATTACACAAAGAGTAACAAAAACTGTTAATTTAAAATCCTCTGTTTAAAAGTCCAAAGTTCGGAAAATGGCTGTACCAAGTCAGGAATATGACAGTTGTTTTCACTGGTTCCGTTGGTTGATGTCGTTTGATTTTGTCTGTTTTTATGGACTTTCCCGTTTTGAATTTACTTTGGAGTTCGGTATTTTTGTTATACAATTTTGCCTAGTCGCAATGGTTTTTCGAATACCAGTTATGGGATTTATTTCGTACGCTTACGATTTAACATCAATCTGAAATGTCGACGAAGTTAAATTATATTTCAATTCTTAAAATACTATCTACATAGTTTCACACAAATAACGTTTTTTGGCACAAATCCGACAACACAAATTGTAAACTGTTCTTTGAGATTCGGCTTTCTCCTTTCAATGCCAATTATTGTCTGCGTCGAAAAACTGGCACTGCTGAAGATAACCATCAGGGGAAACTACTCAGATATTACTAGTACATGGTTTCTCCCAATGGTATTATATCATTTCTCTTAAATGGGAAAGCGGAGGGGAGTCTGCGAAAGTTGCCACCCCTCCCTTAGAACGTCGAAGCGATCCGTGGTGTCATGTTCTTTCCATTCAAAATTTATAATTATAAACAGTAGGATAACTTACGAGGCCTATTGTTGAATAAAAAAAATAAGTTGTCAGTTTTATCTTCATTCTGAGTTAAAACATACAAGTGATGTTTGGTACTTAATGGTTGCATATTTAAGACCCTAACACCAAGTGCTGATTGTACCCGTTTCATTCACCAATTAAAATACGTTTTAGTTCAGAAATCTTATTGTGGAAGGTTTCAATTGGTTATATCATTTTCATTTTACACAATTCGGGAGCACTACTTTAGATAACCTTAGAATATAGTAAAGTGCTTTCAACCATTGAAATTGTAGTATTTCATATTTCATAACTGAAGAATGAATGTAAAACATGTTCTAAGTTCTAACATACAGTTAAAAAAAGATATAAATGCGTTACAACTCCCCTGACAAAAATAAACTCATCATAGATACCAGGATTAAAATTGTGTATGCCATTGTGTTTCTTGGTTAATGATGACTTTTTTCAATATGGTAACCAAGGTAACTACTATACAGACATAGACTTAGAAATTTGACAGGATTTCCAATTGAAAAAATCTTATTGTTTTAAACAACCAAAATCAAAATCAAAATATTTTAAGTGAATATGAATAACTGCCAAGACCCTGCTTACTCCAAAATGACTAAAAAAATAAAACAATATCAAGAAAATATAAATAGAATGAAATCTGATAAATGAAATATTACCTAAACATTTAGGTCATGTGTTTAACTAAACTCTGGACACTAGACCTGTGGTAAAAATACCAATTTCAAATATTCCGATACTTTTAAACAGAGAGTAAAATCTACTTTGAATTTCATCAAGAAGTAGGATTAGATGAACAGAGGTCATTGGGTTTGAATGAAATATACTTGTAATTCAAATTGTGAAATTTATTAATTTCAACTGATTATAAACAAAAGACAATTCATCACTAAAAGATAACATGATTTACTTTCATACTTACAATTAAGAAATTTATACCTTTCGTCGTACTTCTGTGTCATCTAATGCCTAAATCACATTTTATTAAAATTTCCCTAAATATAATAAATTCCTTTCATCACTAAGACTAGTATAACTGAAATAGCTAAAATGATTAAAACGGAAGTTATTCAATAATTATATGGAATGCAATAAATTCTTGAATATAAGCCAATCAAGAGGTAATTTGAGCCTGAAGTACTTTACAATATTCTAAGTTTGAATATGATATAAGTATATGAGAGAGAATGATAATCCTTTTCCTATTGCTCGTACTTAATCGTGAAGCTCTTACATATACTGTTATTATGTTTTCAGGACAATTTAGTGGGAATTCAATTACTCAACTATATTTTTTTGTTTAATTAGACAATAGAAAAGAACTAGCAATATGTACATGGGGAATGGTTATATAGATAATATTTGTACAATGTAGGAAAATTTAAAATTTATTTTACGAGCTTTAGAAACAGAGAGAAAAGCGAGGCTTTTGTCTACAATGTACGAATATTGTTTTTGTCCTGCAATTTAACATTTACACTAAACGTAAATTTGTCTTTACTTCCCAAACGTTGGATTTGTTTCTAAATGAAATCAGCATGACTTAAACACAAGCCACAATGAAGACCCCATGTTAAACTGTGACATAAACATTAATTTGAATATAACCGGAAACTACTAACTATACTATACGTTTATCGCTTCATATTATCTGTCAACCTGTATTTGTATAGTAGAAAGGTCGATTACAGGATTAAGTTTAAGTTGTCAAAACATTATTTGAATCCTTTGTGTCATGTTAAATGAAATGGGTAGTATTTTACTTTAAAAATTTCTATATCCACGGTAATATAATATTATGGGCTGAGTGGTAATCTTGTTATTTTTTAAACCACTTGTACCTTGTACATGTTGTAAGATGATAACGTTGGCAATTGCCATATAATTATTTAAGAAATTTATAAGTTTTAAATGAAATATTGAAACTTGTTTACTTAAATATTTTACATTACATAATTATCAAATTACCATAATTACAGAAATATAAATCATATGGAATGTATTATGAACATTCTGTACATGGAAATAATTGCATGATCTGCACTACATTTCTTCGTATTTTTGAGTAAATGTTCTTTCATAAATAGTGCCCTATATTTTTTTACATCCACTTCCTTTGGTTTCTGGTGGATAGTTGTCCCATTTGCACCCATACTACAGCTCCTTATTTATAGTATGAAAGGACTACTTAGTATTACTCATTTTCTTAATGTGTATTCAACCGTGAGTCAAATGACGAAATTACGTTGAAATGAGTCAATTTAAAAAAAATGCATGATTGTTACTTGGATTTATACTTGAAGACAAATCTGCAGTAGGAAAACTGTACAAATGAACAAAATTGAACCGAAATGTTCGAATCGGTTAAATCCAAGACACCCATTTCGTTTAGGCGATTTTATACACTTTCTTGAACAGTAAATACGTCTTCTAAGGAGATAGAAGTTTTGACAACCTAAAGAAATGCATGATATATTAAATATGGTAATAGAGTTTAGATAAATATTAAAATACTAATCATTAAGTGATTGATAATGGATATGTTTACGTCTATATGATGATAATGGATATGTTTACGTCTATATGATAGAGATAAAAAAAAACATTGATAAAAGTAAAGAGAGGATTGATATTTTGGATGTCTATATGCGTTCTTTGTGAGTATTTCACCGATTCATTGTTTTACTCTATAGTAAATCTCTTTCTAATCGTCCTTTTAAAATCAAATCTATCATTTAGAATAACACCCGTTTGAATTATACTATGTAAATGACATATTAGTATAATATTCGGAACTGTCAGTTCCTTCTGTAACCTAGATAACAAATAAAGATAAGAATTTGGCTAACGATGAAGCTATCTAAAATAATATATATATATTTCAGATCACAGCTTTATCGTTCACAAAGGGTGTCATTTGCTACATGATCTATCCAAGTTGAAACCACTGAAAACAATTTAAATAACTGAAAAGTTCACCACTTCAAATCACGCTCAAGTCTCATTATTCTTGCAAGTGGTGAACATTATTTACGGTACCAAAATGCACTGCACTAGATGGGCATTTCGACCATAAATGTCTTTTCAGTGACACTCGAGATCAACATATTTGAAACACAAAACGTTGAAGAGCCGATTAAACCATATAGGAAAGTGTGGGTTTTACGTTGATAAAATACTCACTATTGTAACAGCTTAATATAAAAATAACATGATTGCCAATGAGACAACTTGCCTCCAGAGACCAAATGACGTAGACATAGCAAGCTATAAAGGGCCCCGAAATAACAAGTGTAAAGAAATTCATACGAAAAAACTAACGGCCTGATTTATGTACAAAACAATAAATGAAAAGCAAAGATGATTTACAATAACAATAAATGTCGATACTTGTATTTTGGCATTGCACAGGGTAATGTTCTTCCCAGACTCTTAACTTAAGAACGTGTTAGGTGTACTGAACGATACTTTAATATGGGAAAAAATTGCCTATTCATAAGTTGAAATCAGTCCTTTAACTACCTTTCAGTAACCACATGTGCCCTGTAATCGGTATTTTGTGTCTTTTATGATTTTTTAGTTGTTTTTTTGTGCTCGATGATCGATTTGATTAGTGGAGACTTTTCTACCGATTTTCACAGTTTTTTCTTCCGTTTGTTATCTTGTTACACTCCTGGCAGAGGTAAAAAAAGAATGTGAGCGCTATCAAACGTGTTTTTATCCCCCAACATTGTTTATTTTCCTGTTCCGAGCCAATAGTCTTTAGTGCTGTGATTTTCATTGAAGCAGTCTGCCATTAATGTTTTTCGTTTCGTGTTATTAGCTTAAATTTATGTTGCATGTTTTGATGTTAAAAATTTGAAACCAATATCTTATTATCCTTTTTTTAATCATAAAACATATTTCTGCGACTAAAATTAACCAGATTTTTCAATTGATTGATTTCAGTGGCTAAAATTACTTACGAAGGTCGTATTGAGGACAAGAACAAGTTATTCAAAAGCCAGAATAAATATGGACCCGTAGATAAGCTGGTGAACATTGTCTGCCCATAAAGAGAGAACGTTGGGGAGGGTTTGATATGACCAAAAGGGGACTAAAAAGAATAGCCAAATTCATTTAAGGTCAACTTTGCCTGAGGGAGTTGAAAACTTAGTTTCTTAATACTTTCTTAATACATTAACGGGGAATTTTATAATAGTATAACTCATGTCAGTATCGAATCACTGGCTACTTAGCTGATGAAACCTCCAGTTCGTCAACAGTGGTATCGACCCAGTGCTAGTAAATGACCTTAGGTCAATTTCGCCTGAGGGAGTTGAACTTTTTTTTAAAATAATTTCTTAATTTATCAACAGGGTATTTTAGAATTGTATGTCATGAATCATGTCAGTGTCAAAGCACTGACTATTGACCTGACTATACCTTCGGGACAAACAGTCCGCAAGCGTTGGCATCGATCCAGTGCTTGTAAATGAAAATAACACACTTTATACAATTCGTGCGTCCGAAGCGCTTTTCTGAACTTAATTTCATCAGGAACGCTTAAACATAAATATTTGAAAGCCAGGGATGTGTAAATACGTAGAAACGTTAGGAACTGTATAACCAAAATGGACCTAAAAGAATAGCAAAATTCATCCACGGTTAACTTTGCGTGAGGGAGCTGAAATATTAGTTTCTTTATAATATCTTAATTTAAATTAGACGCACCCAAAGCCAAGCGGGCCAATAACTCTATTATATTAACACGGTATTTGTCTGGTGCTGTGCAGAGGCCGTCAATTGGCTCTTCGTTATTGAGGTGTATGTTCTTATACTTTCACAGTTGGGGCATTGAAATTGCTGTAGAGCCCTTCCGAATCGTTTGTCCTATTTATATGTAGTTCATGACAAGTAACTTTTAAAATATATACATTTTGATGTGAACCGTGGTTGTCTAAGTATGAAGATAAGAAGAAGTGGTATGATTGCCAATGAGACAACATCAACAAGAGACCAAATGATATAGAAGTTAACAACTATAGGTCACCGTTTGTGTTTGTATTGTTTCTGTATAAACGGTTGGATTTTTGGGCAATTTATGAAAGTAAATGTGAGATTTATTTGCCAGATATAATTTAAAAAATGTTAATATTACACTTCATCTGTGTTCTTCGATGTAAATATGTGATATGATAACTTCTCTTATGTGTTACTTCATTATCTCACTTTCAGCAAGTTTGTTTATTGAATTGTAATGAAGTCCATCCGAATAGTTTGCCCTTTTCAGTTTCCTGACAAATTATTTGATATATATTTTTTATGTGTCCCGTGGTTGTCTAAGTTTGTATTGGTTCTGTATTATACGGTTAGATTGTTAGGCAATTTATACCAGTATTTATTAGATTAATTTGCCAGATATAATTTATAAACTGTTAATATCACCCTACATTCTGTGTAATTATACCCCCTCTCCAATTTCATTAAGAATAACAAACAGAAGATAACTGTATTTATTTTAGTATTTGTTGGCAAGTTTAACAGTTTAAACGAGGACACATTAGCAAATTGCCAGTAAAAGACCAAAACAGTTTTTTTATGATCAACGAGACTTCCACTGCCCTCGAACTAGTCCAGTGTTAATTTTGGAAGGGAAACATGCTCTACTTTTAAAATTTGGCGCCCCACTAAAAAACAACGGTGAATAAAAGAGAATTAATGAGTTGAGCATGGGTTTGATGTTGTATATCGTCATTATGGTGTAATTACTGTTGAGATTGACGTATAACAGAAATGAGAACAATACCATAAAAATCTTAGTACTTATAGTTTTGTAAAATGATTAAAACTATAAATACAGCGAAATGCGTAAAATTTTGAATATATAATAGGTTATCATTTTGTTTATTTGATTATTTGTTTTATCTGTCTCTCTAATAATCAAGATAACACATTACTGATGTAAATATTGTTAAACCGGTATCTAGTGCACGTGACTGCTACAGAATCATAATACATCTTGTGAAATGTAAGATGAGAAAACAATCACAAAACTTTTCATTTTGTCATCTTTTTGTAATATTATTTGTCTGCTATTAAGTTTCGTCAGCGCCACACAACCTTTTTTATATTTCTTTCTATGTTTGCGTTATAAAGCAAACCTTTGCGAAATAACGCAAAAATTTGCGTTAAAACGAAACCTCTGCGTAATAACGCAAACACTATATAGTATAAGTATATTCAAATTCGGCTACATTAACCGGGTCGATTTTTTTATTTTCTTCGGTATAACTTCAATTTAGTCAATTTTCTTTGTAATATTCTCCTGCTCATTATTATGACATCATATATGCTACACTCCAGCATTTTACTTTGCAATAAGTGCAAATAGTGAGAAAAACTTATAAATGCAGCCTCCTCCATTTATAACAGCTGCTTCCCTTGAAACCTAAATAAGAAATAAGATAAAACAAGTGTTTGCGTTATTTCGCAAAGGTTTGTGTTATTTCTCAAAGGTTTGCGTTATTTCGCAAAGGTTGCGTTATAACACAAACATAGGAAGAAATAAAAAAAAAAGTTTATGTGGCGCTAATAAGCTTCCGTAAATTTCAATATAGTTTTTGATTATAAAAAATACAAAACTTAATGAATAATTAAAATCAAAATGTTTGCAATATAACGCAAAGGTTTGCGTTATATCGCAAAGGTTTGCATTATTTCGCAAAGGTTTGCGTTATAACGCAAATATAGGAAGAAATATAAAAAAAAAAGTTTTGTGTGATGCTAATACGCTTCCGTATCAAACACGATGATTTAAAGTTTCTTTAAACCCTATGACAATTAAATAGACAAATGCATCATTGTTAATGAGCCTTTAAACTGATAATCTCAGTGTAGAACTATATAAATTTTAAAGTGACATTCATGGAGAGAGAAAAAGTCTATATAGTGTGCAGTACATAATTTGTTGAAATACAAAAAAAAAGAAATAAAAACATAGTAATTTAAAAAACGAATTGTTTGTCTCTACAGAATTACCCTTATATTCTAATATTATTAGAGGTGTGCCTGTCCATAGGAATGTTTTAAATATTCATAACGTAAAATATAAAATTACATTATCAATCATAGGGTACAAGATATATTTACGCCAATGACATCTTTAAATAAGTAAGTCAACGGGAGCCTTTCTATATCCTTCATATATTTAAACAAGTCTAAATTGAAAACAACGTTCAAACCTATGATTGCGTTGGATAAAAACCGCAATTTTTATACGTGTGCATGCAAAACAAATTTCTTGGTAGAGGGGTCTAAATACAGCACTAACAACATTTTCCAAAAGACCAAAAAAGTGAAAAAGTATATTAACAAAACGCATTTGACTAGCAGGTCGAACAACAGATGTTCTTAAACCCTGCTGACTGCCATGGCGATTGCCAAATAAACGGATCACCAGATGTAAAAATGGATCTTAATTATTAATTTAATACTAAACAGGAAACAATAAACTTGCTGAAAAGATGGTATACCGCAAACATGAGTTGCAAAAATTGGTACACCATATCCGGATTTCGACAATTAATGTCTCTTCAGTGATGTTAGGAATCGAAACGGTATTTGGAAGGTCATATAATTTACCTCAATTTAGGATTGACTCTTGAATTTTGAAGAG